CCAACTTTTGTAACTCAATTTTGTACAAATAACTTTATTGACAAAACAAATAGGGCCAATTTCTCCAAGTTGTCCCCAAGCTTTCTAAAGTGGTGTACACATGTTCCCCAATCTTTCATTTGGGACACTCTTGTCCCCAACCTTTTAATATTGTGCCCGTTATCCCGACCACAAAGATCTTTTGATTCCAAAATCAAGTGGAAACTATTCAAATTACATTAAATGTTGCTTTTCTGAATAATTTTATCATTTCTATCCAACATCACGTACATGACAATCTGAAAATCCTTGTGTCAGTGATTTGAATCCACTTCTAAATTGGTGAAAGGTACAAAAATATATCAACTAAATAGACGTTTTACGATGTTAAAGGTCGTGGCGCAACACTCGTTCCTAACTAATGGTCTAAGTAACGAGTTGGTTCTCAATGTTTAGAAAGCGTTGGTCTTCAATCTTCTATTATCTATGCACATCAGTCACTAGCGGAGGAAACTATCCGGATGTGTCTCTCATATAAATATGCCACACTTCAATTTTTTTAGTATCTAAATTGAGAAATAAATTAACTTAAAAAAAAAAGTTTAATGTAGGAAGTCAAGTATTGATTAATTGAACAAATAAACAATTTTTGTCGGAGACTGTGCAACTATAAGAGTATCTTCAAGAGACTCTTTAAACATGAGATACTCTCTAACTCTTTAAACATGAGATGCTCTCTATTTTAAAGAGTCTAACATTTAAAATCATGCTCCAAGATGATCGTTTGATTTCCCGCAAGTGAATGTGGTCGTGATCAAGTAATATAGTAGTGTGTAAAGTGTCGAACCCACGAGGACTACGTGTTTTATTGAGTTAAAGTTAATAATATCCTTAATCGAATAGCAATAATAGTTTGTAATAAATTTATATTTAATTAATCACGTAATAGAAATCAAAGTAAAAGTTTATCAAATTATTAAGATGCATTGCTAAGATGTAGAATCCCCATTGTTCATCCATTTTTAGTTTAATAATTAAATTGACAATTTGTATCATGCGAGTTGGTCGAAGTTACAAATTTATTTAGAAGCCTCTCTCGATAGCAATTAAATATATTCCCCTCATGCGACCTTTCTATCTCTCGATGAAAAATACGAACATGATAAATGCATTACGAACTAGAATATTATTATGAACCATGCAAAACATAGAGGTATATATCTATCCTCTATCTAACCTCACAATATTTATTACTATGTGCTAACAATTCTATTACCTCTCTCGATGATAATAAAATCCACAAACAATTCAACTAAT